GGCGAGGAGGGGAGAGCTGGCTGCTGCTGTGCAGGCTGCAAGGGGTGGGAATAGAGTCGGCCGCTCGTGGGGTGGAGAGGACCGGGGCTGCTTCCGCGCATGCCGAAGAGAGGGCAAAGGGGGGCAGCAGCTGACCGGGAGAGGAAATAGGGGTCCTTGGGGTGTGTTCCCCTGGCCTGCTGGAAATTGCAAGTGGAGTTGCTAACGCACCCGGAAAATTGGCCCTGGCGTGCTTCTGTGCATCCTCTAATGAGATTGCTAAACCATTAGTACCAGCCCCAGAATTTGCAGCGGGACGGGGGGTGCGCCCCGAAGGGCAGAGTGCGTTTGTTGGACGGGCAAGGTGTATCCCTGCAAGTAAGACGCTTAAAACCAATAATATATTCATTTTAAGGTTGTCCCAAATGGGACTGGGAAAATTCAGGGCTGCAGCCAGCCATCTGAAAGATCGTTGACTTGTGTGTGTTAGGATCTGAGGTGGAGAAAATGCGCTCTGCTCATGCCCAGGAGTGTGCATAGGTTTAAATCCAGTTGTAGGGCCCTCCAGGAATCTTCAAAATGGATTTGCTGATCTTATTTAAATGCTCCAGCAAATGTCTTCACTCTCGGTGGTTCTAACTTCCTGTGATCAAAGTTGAAGGCCAGAGTTTAAGACAGATATGGGGACGGGTTCAGACATTGTGCTGAGCCACTGTTTGCTTTAAAAAGCCATAGACTGGCTTCTCTCATCACGCTAAGCTATGAATGGTTAGTTTACTTTTGGCTTCGTGTGCTGTGCAAGTCAAACCAGTCAACTGCAGTGAAGCCAACTATGGCATAATAATACCTTACAAGTCTTTGGCGTGGAAGAGCTATGCTTTATCATTGGAAGATAATTATTTTTAAAGAAGTAAACCGCGGCAGAACATTATTGCAAACTGAGCAATAATGTCAATCTGTCAACTATAGTCTATGAATCTCACCAATTATATGCTGCCCTGAGTACTCTTTCTGAACAAAAAGGTGGCATAGAAATCTTACAAATTAAGTAACTGGCTTCATACAACGTGCGTTAACCTAAACCTTAATGCAGTGTTTTCCAGCCTGGGCAAGTTGCAGAAGTGTAGACGATCTCCCAGAATTCCCTAGTGGTCATGGCCATTGTGCAGAATTCTGGGAGTTGAAGTCCACACACTTGGAAGTTGCTCAGGTGGGAAAGTCTGGCTTAGCCTGATGTGTGAGCCAAGCCAGTGTTGTCATGACTTGTGTTATACTGGAGTCCTGTTCAAGCATTCAGAGTAAACTTTTGTCCTAGTAAAGCCGTTGACTAGACTTAGACCCAGCAAGAGTAATCAGAAAAGGGATCCATGAGATTCCTTTATGACCAACTGATGTAAGCTTCATCTCTCTCTGCCCCCCTTCCCCTCTCTTTGCCTTTCTAGCTGCAGCACCCCAATGCTGACGTGCGTGAATTTGCTTGCGCCAACATTTCCAAGATGTTGCAACAACAACAAACAATCCCGGCTTTTGTGCAAAGAGACGTGGTTCGGCGACTGGGTCCGCTGCTGCTTGATCCAAGCCTTGTGGTTCGGGAGACGGCGGCGGGAGCTCTTCGGTGAGTGATGGACGATGAAGAGGAGGCCGGGGCAAAGCATGGTTTAGGCTAGAATGTGGACCGGCTATCCGGGGTCTTTTGTGCAAATGAAATAAGGGGGTCAGTTCAGTAAACCTGGGGTTACCATACTGTCAAAAGACCTAGTCATGGTTAGGTTCAGTACAGTTTTGCTACACCTTTCAGAAATTTGTCTGAATTGTCGTTATTGAGTTGTCGTTCTGTTCCTAGAAGCCATAGAGTCTGCTCAGATGGGCTTTGTGTGAACAAGCCTTATGCTTGCAATTTCTACTCAGTTTCTGTAAGCCTTGCGAGGTAGTCCAAACAAGCACAGCCAGAAGTAATAGCTCTACTTTATTGTAAGGTTATGTTAACTGAATCTTGGAAGTCAGAAAGTACAGTACATCTCTCTCCTTCTCATCTTTACAGTCCAAGAACCTAGGGAGCGTCGCTTCCAAGACATTTGCTATGTCCCCATTCCTTCTGCAGACTCAGATTTCGCTTATCAGACCGTTGTCTAGTCATCTGCTCTTTCAACTGTCTCCCAAGGTCATTCCCACATACCATTACAATGTCTGCCCCTTCTCTCTCTATGTTTCTCTTGATTCAAAACTTTCTGACCTACACAGGTTAGCAAGATCAAATCCATGTTTCTCATCCTGCTTCCTAGGGAGTTCTTCCCAATAAGATGTTTTTTCCCACCCAGAGGCAAAAAGTTTCTCAAAAGTTTTCAATTTTTTTTTGGTTTAGTTTATGAATCTTCCTCATCGCTGTGTTGTTCCTGATCCTTATCTTGAGAAACCTTTATAAATGGCTGATTAAAAAACAAATTGGCAAACTAATGTGGACTTTGGCTTTGTTACAGAAATCTCAGTGCCTGTGGAGGATTTGAAGTTTGCAATGATATGGTCACTAAAGACATCATGACTCCTCTTGTAGCTTTATTGAAGGAGGTATGTAATAAGAATGTGAGTGCTTTGAAATAATTCTGCAGAGGTGCTTTGGAATATGCGGGAGCATGAACACAGCATCTCTTTAAAGAACCATATCTTTTTGTGTCACTTAGAGTCTTTCTGAATCATAGTAAGCATGGTGGCTTTAAAGAACCAGCTCATTAAAGCAGCTTCGTCTTTTCCAGGCTTGAACTGAAGCCTGAAAAAAGAAATGACTGCTTTAAAGAGATGCTGTGCTCATGCACCCATACATTATACGACGTTTTTCAAAGCATGCACAGATCAGTAATATGGTAGATAATGGCCATTCTAATCTTACTTTTGCTCTGAATTTGCTGATTGGCTATAGGGAGGCATTTCATTGATTGTACTCAGATAATTGGGCTAGGTTGTTCAGTAATTTGTTTGGCCTTGACTTAACTCAGGCTGTAAACCACAGATCATTTATTCAATAAATTACAATTGAACAAACCATGGGTTAATACAATTTGCAAACCAGGGCATTCTTGGGCTTGGTCTTTCCCTGAATCATCTGATCCAAATCAAGATGGGCTCGCACAGTACAAGGCAAATGTAAACCCTTGTTCAAGTTAAGGTTGACTCTTGATGACTCCATGGAGGTATCTGTAGCTTTCTTGTCAATGACATGGAAATGATTTCTCAGTGCCTTCTTTGGAGATGTTTTTTCTACTTTCCACTCCACCTAAACTTACTAACAGCTTTCCTGGTAGCCTAACATCCAGAACTAGGTTTGTTCCTGCTTTCCTTTTCAAGATCATATACAGCTGATTAGGTTTTGTTATCTGACTACTAAGCTATAATAAACCATAGCCACAGTTGGCTGGGTTCACCAGTTCTGCTAAACCATCAACCACGGCTGACAAGCCAGAATAGTTAGGTTCATTCAGCAGACTGGGCCAGAATGAAACAACTCCCGTTTGGTTTAAGGTGACGGGTGAACCAGCCTGCAGAAACGGGTATCCAAAAAATCTTTTGAAGAATGAAGGAGCTTGGAGGAGACCCCTGGAGGCAAGGGTGTCTTGCACTCTTCTCATCAGGACCATGTCAGCATGTACTTATTCTAATTTTTGTTCTTTTTTGGCCTACTTCGATCAAACAGTGCCGGGCAGGACTTACCGAAAACGATGTTTCCCTGAAGGAAGACAAGCAAGCAGAGAAGAACCATACCGAGGACATTGCTAATGAAGCAGTGAACCTGCTGTGGAATGTCTGGTGAGCTCCATTGGGAAGTTCTTGGCTTCAGGACCAGCTGAGGGTATTTGGGGAAGAGGGAATCCATTGACTGTGTCCTCCTCTCCAGACTCTTGTGGACTTGGGCATGATGTGTGAGCTCAGCCCTCTTTTGAGAAAGTCGAAATATATTATAAATACAATGATTTAATTAACGTTGCACGTGTCAGTGTCTGTGTGTGTTGAGGAAGGATGGGAGTAAAAGCATGTGGATCTCAGTTGGTAGAAGGTAACATCTTTATCTTCTGTTGTTATTGGGTAAATCATTTAGGTTTTAGTTAGAAACCAATCAATGCTAGGGGCTGTGGACACTTCAAATGTTGTTTGAAAGAAGGATGTTAGAAGTTGTGTGAGCAAGAAGCTCTCTGCTATTCATTAAAGCAAGTGTGACTTTTTTTCCCCCCCAGCCTTCTGGGGCAAAATGTTGTGCCAGCGACATGACCTCATTAAAGCAGCTGCATCTTTTTTTCAGGCTTGTACAGACACCGGGGGGGGGGGGACAAACACCATGCCTGCCTTAATGCATAGCAAAGAGGTCCTATGCTCGTATGAGTTCCAAAACAGTTCTTTCAAATCATTTTTGAACCATGCAGAGTTATAAGTTTGCAATGTTTGCTTATAAATCAGTAGACCCTTAGGGATTATTGGACGACTGGCTAAACCTTCTTTAATGTCTCTACTAGTGAATGCAACAGTACGGCAGTAACGGTATTCAACAAAGAAGGATGCTTAGATGTTATTCTCCAATATCTGAAGAGATTTCCTACAAATGTAGACCTGGCTATCGCTGTGGGTAAGAGAAGGAGATACCTTCCTTTTTACTGGATGTGCTTTAGCAATTCCTGCTGGTATGAAGCTGTCTGTATAATTTACCAAGTGAAGGGACTATTGGTAGTTTGGAGCAGGAGTGGGTGAAATGTGTTGCCTTCTAATTTTTGTTTATTTTTGTTTTTCATTAACTTGTATCCTGCTTTTAACCTTTTTTTTTTAGGAAACATTTAAGGGGCAGATGGCAAAAGGATAATAATTTAAAATTTATATGCCGCCCAGAGTCCCCCTCTGGGGGAGATGGGGAGGCATATAAATTTAATAAATAAATAAAAATAAAAGAAACCTTTCATGGTTAAAAAAAACTTAAAAGATAGCATCAGATAAAGATGAAAGTGAGCATTAGTAGAAATAAACTAAGAACAGTATCAAGTAGTTAATCCTATTTTTCTGAAACACAAAGAACACGGTTAGGAAGATTGATTTATGAGTTTCTGACTTGGATTTGTGTCTCAGATTTAAACACTGATGTCCTTCTCTGCCTTCACAGCATCCTGTTTGCAGACGGTGACGGAAGATAACCCGGATCTGCTTTGGTCTTTCGATGCATCTGCGCATCAGGCACTGGAAATGGTCATGTTATCATCGGACAAAGACATGGAGCACATCCTTTTACGGACACTGGTGGCAGGTATGTTTTGACTGGGTGCTCACTGTGGCAATGGTGTGCCAGAGTGTAGGGGGAAAAGTCACAACTCCGTGGTTTGCACATGGGAATTCCTCGCATCAATCTCTGGCATCTTCAGGTAGCTTTGGGGAAAGATCCTATCTGAAGCTCCCAGTCAAAGGCTGGGTGTGGGTATCTCAGGAAACCGTGTTGTGATGTCTTCATTTCTGGCTTAGTGAGTTATTGGAACTTACCTGTAGTAACTAACCATTATGTGTGAACCAAACCATTACAGCTTAATCAACAAACTCTTATTGAGAAAATGGTTACTCCATCTTACTCCATAGTTACTCTCCATTTTAGATGGTTAGTCCATCTAAAAGTAGAGAATGGCCTGTATAGAACATGTTTTATTTTTGACTTTATCTCATTTGTGGCCATTATGGCTTGTTCAGCAAACCATTGTAGACAAATCGGCTGAGTGCAGTTTGTGAATCTAGCCAATGTTGAGCTAGTAGAGTGCTGCTTGCAAATTGTGGACGTTAACAATTCCAGTAGATCTGAAAGATTCTGGGTTGGGGAAGGCTTTGCTAGAAGGTGCCTAATGAGTCTGATTGGAGTAAAAGAACTGCCAGTTACTTATTTCAGGTGTTGTAAGTTGGCTACTAGACCTTGTAGAGCCAGAAAATTGAAGGCACTGTTCCTGATTCTAAAGGCAGCACGCTTTGTACTAGTTGTGGTACAACTTTCCGGAACGTAAGAGAGTGAAAGACTCTCTTGTGGTTGCAGTTTGGGGTTGTCCCTTTTCTCTTGCAGAAGAGATGCTCCTGTGACCAGATTTGGCTGGCTGATATCTACCTTAACCTTTTCCTTGCCTCAGGGGTAATATGGAATGTAAAGAGCACCGTGCCTTCCAGTAGCCAGGCGGGAACCATCAATGCCATCCTGAAGATTTTCTCTGACTGTTTAGAGGTAGACGCTGGTGAGACAGTCATTCAGATGAAGGAAGCTGAAACAGAAAGGTTGAAAACGTCTGCTGAAGGAAACGGGGTTGATGGAGGTAACTCAGTACGGGTAGAAGATGATGGCATGGAAGAGGAAACTGGAGGAATCACCCAAGGGGAAAAGGACATGTTGGATCTACTCCCAGTAAGTGGCTGATTCTGGTCTCTAGAGGTGGCACACCAGGGACTCCTTTATAAGGATAAGACCAAAAAAAAACACCTTTTATTTTCTTTCTTATTTGCTGGCTGAAAAAAGCCTCATGCATAGCATCCCAAAATGAAATTCTTGCTCTGCTGTCCATAGCGTCTTCTGAACTGTTCTTTGCCTACTCCCAGTTTTTTCTCTCTTTCTCTCCATCCTAGCTTTCTCTTTTCACTACTTCTCCCTAGTTCTCTATCATCATCATCATCATCATCATCATCACCATCTAGGAAGGGGCAATCCTAACACTGATTTAGAGGGGGGAGATAGCAGCATTTATTTTACTGGAATTTGAGAAACAGAATTTAAATAAGCCATGATTTAGCTGGATAGGAGGGCCAGCCCAACTATCTGACTTCGTAAGACAACGCCCCGTGTTCTTTGCTTCGTAGTGCAGCCAGCAGGAGCTGAAGCAAGTGAGCGCATTACTTCTGGCTCAGCAAACCACCCTGGAAATCATTGTCAATATGTGCTGCAATGAAGGTATATCCGTGGCTCTCCTCTTATATGTAGTTTTCCCCAACTTGGTGGCTGTCTTAATACGTGATGCCTAATGAGGGTATTTACTCTGGGCCACAGTTTTTGTCCCCCACCCCAATCCACAGACTGGGCAGGGTATAACAGAGTTACCATACGGAGTAAGGCATACTATGTATAGGAATGCCACAGATGGCCACCAGAAACTTTTGATCTTGGTTAAAGACGTGTGGAATAGTTGAAGACCTACTAAGTTTATTCACACAACCTGTAAAGCTTGTTCAGTTTCAATTGTGGTGAAGCTCTTGCGTCTTTGCATGTTGTGTGAACCCAGTCTGTTGGGTAGCTTGTGCAAATGCTGCCCTAGATGTCTCAGCTTGCACCTTCATGCTTACCGCAAGCAGTTTGTCCGAAAAGAATGTGGTATAATAACGGTTGCATGTATAATCTCTGAAGCGCGGAAACAGAAAAATTGGCATTTGGTTGAGAAGTTGGCATCTGGGGAATTCAAGGTGGCAGACTACAAATAAAGCTGTAGCAATTCCTTTGGGATGTTGACGTGTGTGGCTTCCGTTTCCAGACGCCTCGGATGAAGAGTGGGAAGAGTTGTCGAGTAGCGATGAAAGCGATGCCTTTCTCGACAACAGTTATGAGGAAGATGGAAAGCTGCTTTCTCCACTGTGCCTTTCAGCTGAAATTCACACCGCCCTTGTCCACCACTTAATCCCAAAGAAGGTCACCACCTCTTCTTTGACTTCGCACTACGATCTTTGTGTTTCCAAATGCGGCTTCCATTTCCAGAGCCTGGGATTGAATTTACTTCATTATCGGTTCACTGAATAATCCACAGTTGGCTGAGTTCACGCCACATCCTAAGCCTTAAACCGTGGATTACAGGGGTATGGTGGAGTTCCCACAGTACAGTAGCCTTCCTTCTCTTCTCCAGCCTGGTGCCCTCCAGATCTGATGGGCAGGTGGCAGGATACTAAGCCAGAATCAAACCAGCCACACTAAGGCTTGGGATGATGGGTGAATTGGGTCATAGTCTCCCAGGGCCTCACAAAAAGGTACTTGTTGTATTTTGGGTGGGAGGTGGGAAAAGTATTGTTGGAAAAGGTTTCTCTGCCAGATCATACATAAAGCATTGGGTTTTTTCTAAAGGGGTTCTCTTGATCCTGCACCTAAGAAAGCCATTTGGGTTTTTTGGCCATAATAAACATTACGTACGTCAGAAATCTGGTGGTTGGAAGGGAAATAACCCTGAGAACAAGGATGGTGAGAGGAGTATCCAAGAAGGGGTCATGAGTGTGATATAGTTCCCTTCTTCACAGAATGGAAGGAGTATACGTTAATACCATTGCTTGGAGAATTGTCAGAACAGGAATTCGTGTTCTGCAGCTTGGAAGTAGCGGTTGAATGCCTGCATAATTCTGCATATTTGGCCTCCTGCCTTCTTGACTCAGTGTGTGATTTGTTGAAGTTTTGTTAGCCGTAGCATGAAGGAATGGGTCATCCGGGAGCATTTGAAAACGATCCTGGCCAAAGGATTCTGAACATAGCTTTGCCATTGAACAATAAAAGATCATAATCTTTAAAATAAATAAAGGAAATTGCGATGGTCTCAGGAACGTGTGGTCACTTCCACGTTCTGTGGGGATATTGGGCTCTTCTAAGAATTGGGGCCTTTTGCAGAACATCGATGATGGACCATAGCTGTTCTTTCCTTTCTGCAGATCCTGGACAAAACTGCTTTTCCTAGCAGGGCTACTGTTGACGTCTGTGTGCAGCACCCATCTTGGAAGCCTCTGATTAAAAAGTAGGTGACTTGTTTTCATCCAGTTTCCCTGTCACCTTCTTAAGAGAACTTAGTTTTGTTAGCAAATAAGCAGAATAAGGGTGTTGACTTCAGGCTACATGCTGACGGCTGGTTCCTGGCATTGGAGGCCTCAACGTCGCTCTTGACTCTGTTCTGTTCTCTTTCAGGTTGAACATGATCCAGTACAGAGCACTGACCTGTCTTCACAGCATCTTGCTGGTGTCGGACGTGGATAGCCTCGGGGGACCTTTGGTGCTTCAGTCCCTGTCACAGCACTTGTCGCAGTTAATTTTTTCTCAGCCAGGTTTGCTTGAGGCTTTGATTTTAGGCTCTTTCTAGCTTGGTAGGACTCGAGTTCTTCCCCGCTGCCGTTGTTCCTCTTCCTTCCCAATCGCTCTGCTAATTGCATTCCATTTTAACGACTGGGCTTCCTGCGGTTTTGTCTCTGTGCACACTGTGACAGTAGGCTTATTTATTTAAGATATGCATGAGCAAGTGAGCACTTGCTTGGCAGCGTGGCATGGAATACCATTGCCAGAGGCCTTTGAATCAGCATTGACTCCCAATGATACCGGGACAAGTCTGAGCAGTTCTTTAGGCAGCATTTTCAGAAATGGTTGGCCCTTGCCACCTTCGTCGGGCTGAGAAAGAGGGACCGGCCCAAAGTCACCCAGCTGGTATTCAGGACTAGAATTTGTGGTCCCCCAGTTTCTAGCCTGGTCCCTTAAACCAGTGTTTCTCAACCTCGGCAACTTTAAGATGTATGGACTTCAACTCCCAGAATTCCCCACCCAGCATGGCTGGCTGGGGAATTCTCAACTCCCAGAATTCCCCAGCCAGCCAAGTCCATACATCTTAAAGTTGCCGAGGTTGAGAAACACTGCCTTCAACCACTACATCAAACGGGCTCATGCATACGTGTGTGTTTAGAAAATTGGGATATTTTTTTTTCCCAAACGGTAATTAAATGATGATATGCAGTTTATTTCAGATTTAAAGTTTCAGGCTTGAAAAGTTCAACCTGAAGAAAGGAGATAAGTTCCAAATCTCTGTTTCAGCCTTTCCAGGATGGCTATGTCTGGTCTGACGTGCCCCGAAACCCAAAACAGAACCCGTTTTGAGCTTGAATGCTAAGCTTGTTGTCAACTTGAAGCGGGTCTGATTCAACATGCTTTGCGTGCTCCTAGTATTAAGTCATCTGTTTTTGGATTTTATTTTATTTTTTTGAAGCTGTAAATAAACAGCAAAAAACCCTCCCATACTGCCAAAGAATGGTGATCTGTAGCCACATTTCAGAGGCACAAATTTGTGAGACTTTGGTGGCTGCTAGCAGGTTGCTAAATGCTGATTTTAGAAAGGTTATTCCACTTTTGACATAAAAATAATTCAGGGTGACTGGCAAGAGAATTAAGAACGTCCCTGAGAAAGGTTCCATTTAATCTTAGAGAATTTGGGACTTTGCCTAAAACATCTCCAAAGAAACACGAGAGCTACAAAGTCAACGTGGACTGTATTTTCCAGGCCATGTACAAATATTAATAGAACATATTTACTCTCAAAAAATGTACGTAACTTCTTGTGTTTTGAGCACAAACAAAATGTGCTTTTTCCTTTTGGACAGAATTTTCAAAAGAAGTAGAGTTTCTGGAAGCTGTCACCAGTGCGTTGCGAGCTCTTCTGCAAATGTTGGCATCAAATAATATACCTCAAGTGAGTTTTTTGGACACGTTGGCCTCTAATATTAGAGTTTCCACAATCTGATTATAAAACATCCATATGATATGAAGTAGTTAAGTTATGCACGCATGTAGTTTCTTGAAGATCTTTTGAATTGAACAGGAATGGGGAAGGGGGTCAGCCCCACTTGTCTTGAAGGAATTCAGGAAGTCAGTATGACTTCGTCATGCTGAGACAGGATCTGTTTGCAAGTAACAATAAACCCTAATGATGTCTGGCTTCAAACTTGGCTTCCCTAATTATTGAATAAGTTCATGTTGTCTGAATCCAGCACATAAGGCCATCATCTAAACCAGTGTTTCTCAACCTTGTCAACTTTAAGATGTGTGGGCCTCAACTCCCAGAACTCCCCAGCCAGCATGGATTCATGTTTCACACTAAAGCAACATTTTTAAGCCATGGTTTCTTGCACAAACCATAGCGTCCTGATTTGACCATAGCCTTCAGCCCTGAGGGCTAGTTTCACACATTTTAGACTATTTATCCTAGACCTATGTGTATAGTGCTGAAACTGAAGTAGAGCTGGGAAAGAGTACCTCTGAGCATATGCAGAGTATTTTTCCCTCTCTATTCCTGCTCATGCTGGTGGAATGGCCTCTGAAGGCCCCCGGGATGGTTTGTCCACACGCCTACGCTGCTGCCCTTTTCTTTTGCACTTGAAAGAAAAATGTTTCTAAAAAACACCTTTCTAGGTACATTGGGGTTGTAGTTCCAAGAATTCTCAGCCCATGTGGCTGTTGGGAGTTGCAGTCCCAGCACATCTGGACAGCTCCAGGTTGGATGTTTGACTTGGAGGCTGAGAAGAGGATTTTTTCTTCCTCTTTGTTTAAACAGTGCATGACTCCGGAGCAGTTGATGACTCTGTGTGACACCGGTATCCAGAGCAAAAATGTCAGTGTCCGAGTCAACGTCGTTAGCATTTTAGGAATCGCTGGGAGCGTGCTTGCAAAAGTGGAAAATACCACCGAAACGCTAAAGGTAAAGTCAGTTGCTCGTTGCCATCTCGCTTTTAATGGGAATGTTAACTGCTTGGAAGATGGTTAGTCCTTCTTTTTTTTTCCTTTCGGTTGTACGCTTCCCTGTTGCAGAATATTGGGAAGTTCCTGCTCAACGTTGCGACAAAAGATCCTTCCCTCGTGGTGGTCGGAGAAGCGCTGGACGCCCTCTTTGACGTTTTTGCTGATGGCAAAGAAGCGGAAAGTGCAGCAGAGGAAATAAAATTGCTTTATGCGCTTAAGGAATTCCAGCCCGTTTTCAAGTCACGGGTAAGCATACTGTTTCCTAGGAAGATGTAGAGGAGGAAACGCTAATGTGGTTTAGGAAAGCATTCACGTTGCAAATCTGAACAGTTAACTTTCTTGCCCAGTGGCATTCATTCGTGGATTTCCTAAAAATCCCAACATCTGGTTTATTTTAAAATCCCCTCGTTACTAGTCCTCATGGTTTCAGCAATGCATTTTGAAATGAGATGGGTAGCCTCTTTGTAACTGGCAGCTCTGTTTAACTTTTTTTAGTACAGGAGGGCTACAATGATGTGGAAGCAGGCAGGTTTTGTTTCTGTTTCATTTTATTTCCTGGGATGGGGGAGTTTGGATTATCCATCCATCCATCCATCCATCCATCCATCCATCCATCCATCCATCCATCGCCTGCCTGCCTGCCTGCCCCTCTCTCTCTCTCTCTCTCTCTCTCTCATCTATCTATGAATGATTAACTAGAGTTAAGCCCATTTCAGAGCCTCTGTGAAGGTTTTGTACGTTTCCCATGTCAAAATGGTGAGAAACCATGACCCTCATATTCCCTCTTGTGGGCTTTGCCCAATGAGGGTGGTTCAGATAAAGAAAATGTTGGCTGAGGCTTGGAGCTTTGTGCCATTCACATCCCAAGCCTTCTGTCCCCCTTGAGAGGCCAGTTTTGGGGGGGGGGAAAAAAAGGTGCTCCCCCCATTTGAAAAATGCACATACCTGGCCAAAGGGAACAGAAAACCAAGACGGTAAGTTAATATGGGTGCATTCATCCCAGAACAACCAGACCCTTACAGCTTTGGCATGACTGAAAGAGACATTGGAGGGGAGAGTTTACGTCACCTGACATTAAAGGAATCTCGCTTGTTTCTCAGTAGTAGCAGTTCACCCATTTGGCTGCATCTGCTTGTGGTTTGGGGCACTTCTCCGATTGCCGGCCCTGCTGCTTTTTACTTCATGGCTTAGATGCTGACTCTGGATGGATAACGTCAAACAGGGTGCAGAGAGTCAGGAAGATGACCTCGACAGAGATAGGCCAGATGCATTACCAAAGTGACTAGCGGAAAGACACAGCTGAAGTGCAAAGCAAGCAGAAAGTTCTCTAATTCGCATGAGTACAAGGGGTGGGGTGGAGTGCAGTTCAAGCATAATCAGACTAGCAAGATTCTGTTACTGTAGCCGATACTGAAATAAGTTGTCCTTTGGTTTGGTCTAGACCAGTGTTGTCCAAACTTGGCCACTTGACCATGCTGGCTGGGGAATTCTGGGAGTTGAAGTCCACTCATCTTAAAGTGGCCAAGTTTGGACAACGCTGGTCTAGATAGTGGGGCTGACACGGGCCATTTTTTTTAAAACTGCAGATGCGAAAGGAGGGCAGAGGACAGTACAACACCGAGCAGCTGTGCGTTCTAGACAACGTGAAGCTGAATTTAAGAAGATTTATTGCCTATCAAGAGACGTTGGACGGAAAGAAAAAAGTCGGGTAACAAAACTGCGAGAAAACAGCCAAGCTCGGAGAACCCCAAGGACTCTACAGTTCAACCCGGAGCTACATACATTCTTTTCTAGGGGGAAAAAAATGTTTTGGAATAGAAACAGGATGGAAAGTTCTATTTTTAATATGGTTTATTAAATATTTTAATCATGAATTCTATAAGAACTTGCAGTAACAGCTATTAGGAAAGAAGGGTGATGGTCTGCTTTTCATATTATATTTGTTATATTGAAGGGAAAAACGGAGGGGCAGAAAAAAGCACTGAAATGGATTTAGCCCCAGAAAGTGTCAAAATGTGTCCTTAATGTTAAGGAATATTTTGAGTTCCTGGATGCTCTAGGTCAGGGTGGTTTCATTTAGAAAAAGAATGAGCAAAAAAATCCAAAATAAAGAATTGGTCTCCCTGATGGTGGCCCCCATTTTTTTAATGTGGAGAAATAGTTCCTAGATGACAGACTTCAGGATTTTCTCTCTGTCTCTCTCTTTTTTTTTAGAATAAGAACAATATATTAAAAAAGGGGTAAAAAAGAGAAGATTCCTGATGGTTTCATTTCTCAGTGCCCAGATGGGTGGATTTTTTCTACTTCTGCTTTTTAAAAATGTATTACAGATGGCCAAGTTCACACATCACATTAAGCCTTAATATGGCACGTTTGATTTTTGACTGAGATTTTCTGCAATCCCAGCCATTGGGTTTGTAGCTTAGTGTGCTGTTTGAATGCAACCCATGATGGCTTATTAAACAAGTAATGGTTTGGTGTGATGTTCATAAAGTCTTAACTAAGATGAAGCGATGTAGAAGATCTCAGATGCTTCTCTGGGTTCCACGTTTGCATTATTAAGCTAAGAAATTGTCGGCTGAGTTTGCCCTAAGCTGAGAATTGACCAGCTTGGGTTTGCAGACTAAGCTGCAATTGGCTGCATGCCACCATAAATCGTGGCTTATAGACCACAGCTTGGCTGGGTTCACAAGAGTGCCAAAACCAGACAAATCACATTTTGTCCTTTGATGAGTTATTTACTGTGGATTTGCCCCAAGGTGGGTTTGGGGCTGACTTTAGGCCAACTGTATTGGCTAACCACACTGCATTGATTTAGCAGTTTTGAAATCCATGCTAAATTGCAAGCAAGGAGAAGCGGGGCTGGGGCTGGGGCATCTCAGTTCTTCAGTGCCAGCACTGATATTTCAGATGCCACCCTCCATAGGATTGCAAAAATGTTTTCAGGCTTCACCGTGCCTGATCATTCCTTTTCTAGGCAGTGTCCCAACCTTGCTTTTTCCAGCCTCCGTTATATAAATTTTAGCTTTCCATAGATTCTGTGGAGCAGTAGCAACAGGTATAGACACCTCTGCTTTGCAAAGTTGCCCACACCTGTCACCTTGAAACGTGTTTGTTCAACAACTGGAAAAATCTAGACGGTACTAAAGCTTTTCACCTTGAGTCAACATGCAGAAGCCAAAAAGATACCCATAACAAAACCCCATGGTACCTTTTTAGATTAGACAAACACCTGCTGGCGCTAATGTTACGGCTTTTCTAAGCAAGGAATCGCTTCTTGCCGTTTTGACCGTAGAAGTTCATTCTGTTAATGGTTTAGTTCAACCTTCTCTAATCGGACTCCTGCCAAGCTGAGCTAGAACTGCCTTTTCCAGAATTCCTGGCGAGGAGGAGAAGGCTGAGAATTGCGATGCCGTACAGATGGAAGGAACTAGATTGGGAAGGCTGGACGAAGCCTACCCCTGATGCGTGGCTTTTCTCAGGCTGAGGGCTGCCCTTAGCTTTTGAGATGCATGCCTGCTGGTACCTCAGCAGGGGCCCAGGCAAAAGAGATTCTAATTTAATTTCATTGTTAAAGAGGATCCAATATGGGGGATGAACATCCCCTTTCATTAAAACTTCCCATTCAGGCACAATGCTGCCCTGGAGTATCAGATTCCGTGCCCTTGATTTATAAGGTGCCACGAGACTTTTTTTTGGCTTTTGTTCCAATAGATGCAAGACACTTGGCCCTGTTAGAAGTTGATGCATTTTTAAAGGATTTGTGGAGGATCTGGAATAGTGTCTGCTATGTTGAGGTCCTGGGATTGTTCTATTGTCCCCCCAACACCCCACCCCAGATTTATATGGATAGCCTTGATGGGTCCCTTTGAGCAAATGGCTTTGTAAATATTTTAGGAACTGACTTTCTTGTAGGATGCTGGATCAGCCTTCTTTCTGCCCCACGTAACTCGTTGGGTGCCAGCTTCACAACAGCTGCTTTTACTACGGTGCTCGGCCACACCAGTTGTCCTGGTTTTACCCATAATGCGGTTTCTCAGGGTTTGACTTAGAACTAGGGTAGAGCCAGGCATTATGGTTTGTAAATGGTGGCTTATGGCTTTACATAATGTGTGAATTGTATGGCTTGCTCATCAAACCATCAGTTGTGGTTTGCTGCATCCATTGGCTGTTTTTTGGGTGGCCGTGTCTGTGTACATGGCGGGGCAGAAATCACAATTGGACTCAGAGTGCTAAAGATTGCACAGTGGCCCTTTTGACCTGCGATCTCACACATTTGTGGTTTTGCACATCTGCAGTTGGAAAATATAGCACAGACCTCCTTATCAGGGTTAAAAGGTTTCATATCTCTGCAGTTCATGTATACACATAATATGATGGATGGGTTTTGGTGCATGTGTAAAGTACCTTTTCTAGGCCTTATTATCTGCAGTTATTTGGCTGGAATAGAATCCTGCAAATAACAAGGGGCATCTGTAGCTTTACTCTTCAAAAAGAGGGCAGTGCCCAGATGTTTGCCTATGCAAAAAGGCAGAATAATTCTTGGTATAAGTTGTGTTACCTGTATCACTTGGATACTTTTGTATTGCTTGGAAGCCAGTATACTAGCTTAATATCCCAAAGCATCTTTTTTTATTCCTTTGTCTTTTTTTTACAAATGAGGTAAATGAAAAAAGAATTGCTTTCTCGTTTTCTTAAAGTAAAAAAGAAAACGCAGTGACATCCAAGCAGTTATGTGACATGCTATCTTTGCACTACAGTATAATTCTTGAGAGAGAAAAAATGGAAACCCGTTTCGAACTATCTGTATATAGGAGAAGCAGCAAAATTAGGGTTTGGGAAAGCGGTGTGTAAAATGAACAGAAGCGATGTGCAATACATAGTATACCAAAGTATATTTATTCATCTTGTATTTGAAATCCTTTAGCCAAAAGCTGTTAAAATGCAGAATAACTACATTTTCTACCAAAAGGAGTCTATGTGTTGTGTTTGGAGTCGATGCACTGCTGGGCTTCATCCAACAGGCAGGAACGAACCGAGGCAAGCTAATAAAAAAAACCTCTGATAAGGAAGCCGTAATGAACGAGTCCCAGCGACTGATGAGGTCTCTGTATAATCAATGTTGGTGCCTCTATCCCTTGTTCGCTGTCCACAGCGGGCTGCCCCACCCCATTTGGTAGGGTTTCTGCCTCTTGTTTCTGCAAGTTGGATTTGCTGTCATATTGCTTTCACTGACTGTGTGAGAACTCTCACGTGAGCCGTAGCCCAAGGGTACAATACATATTTGGCAGCCAGATGGTGATGGTCTAATCCTAGAATTTCCAAAAGGGTTGAATAAACTCCTCTGTTAAAACCTGGGGAGCTCTTGCCAGCCAGATGGTCTGATTCAGCGTAACAAAGCTTCTCAGGTGACCATTACGATGGCTCTCAGGAAGGGTTATAGCAGGTATGAGGTGGTACTAGAGTAAGTCAGTATCAGAACTGGGTTACTAAACAACAACTGTAAGCAGTGTGACTCACATTATAAGTTACAGCCTGAGATAAGAGTTGCAGTCATTTTTGCCTAATCTAGAAAATTTGATGAATTGAACAGATCATAAAAAATTGAATATTATCATCTTGTTCTGGGAAGAGATGATATGGCACAAGCCAGTCCGGTCTGTTGGCTAAGCTGTTGGACTAGGAGTGGGGAAAGCTGAGTCCTGCTCCTTCCTGAGCCATGAAAACCAGCCAGGTGCCCTGGGGCCAGTCGTCCTCTCTTAGCCCTAGGAAGAAGGCAAGGGCCAGCGACTTCTAAAAACGCTGCCTAGAGAACCATATGGGCATTTATTTCCATGTAGTCCCCAGGTGTCATCTGACTCAAGGCTCCTCTAACTTTTTTCAAGTAACACTAAACATTTGATTGCATCCATGTTGTAGAATACAAACATGGAATAAATGGTTGCTTTGGAATAATCTCCTGGGACACGGACAGAGCTTCGTTGTTGAAGTTACACATTTGCTTTGCCAACATTTGTTTTCCAGCTGTTCAAAGCAATTGTAATTATACCTTAGGAAAAGGAGTTGGGGGGGTTGAAATCAGGATTGGAACAAAGAGGCTAAGAAAAACCACATAACTCCCATCCCCAATTAATTTAGATTTGGATTGATTCAGATGGGAATCTGAAATTCATTGCTAAAATTTTATTGCTTCCTTTTCATGGACACTGTACCGAGTACTACCATCTTTAATCTAATGTATTACATATTGTAAAGACGCTGAAATACATCCGTGATTGCAAAATTCCTTTTTCACACACGAAAACTGGCATGTATGTACATATGTACATGACTGTACACACACATACATCTGAACTCTTAATTGGAGAAAAGTTGGAAAAGCCTAAATGTGTACTTAATAGTTGTTCCTGTGATCTTTTTTGATTTCGGAGAACTCTCCATACCTTGTGAGATACTGTCCAAGAAATGATTTGTAAATGGAGATCTTCCCTCACAGTGATGAACCACAAATGCACTATAGAATGGGAAGAAAAAGCTACATTAAATAAATCTGACATCAGGCTTTGATACTCTGGATTAGGAGATACCATTAACATGATTTTTGAATATAGGGATGGTTTACTTTGTGGTGGCTTTGATCATCCCTGGAATTTTGGCAGTGGTCTGAGGCAATTATTGGCTTAGATCTGTTGAGATTCTCCAAATGTTTTCATATTTGCTTTTATTTAATATGCATGCATGTACGTGCAAGAGAAAGGCGGCAGGGGACTTGAGAGAGAAAAAAGATCTTTATCTAAACGTTCGGCCTTTAACTCGGACCAAGAAGATACTTTTTGCTGAGTGAATAGTTTGAGCTACTGCATTCAATTTGGACAAGCCACAGATGTGGGATCCTATTGGGATCCACCAAAATGCCTGGAGGATATCTCCTTTAGTGCTTACAAAGGCCCTCTGTTGCACTTTTCTCCCCCCTCCCCCAGATTAGTTTTAAACAAAATTGAAAAGAAGCTTGCGGGATGCAAAGCTAAGCATCAACTTTCAGAGTCTTGTTGATTTCTAAGAATGGTCTTGAATTGCAGATGGCCTCCTGAAGCATTTGAGAACGTAAATGGGATGAATGGCTGGAACCCTGGGCTTTTTTGGGCAGATATGCTCATGTCCTCAGAAGAAATGGAGAAAGATAGCAGGAAGCATTCTCAACATGTTGGTTTTTGATAAATACAGGTAGCCCAAATTTAGTGACCACAACAGGGACCGGCAGCTTGGTCATTAAGCAAGGCGGTTGCTAAGTGAAACCGTGAGTGTGCTTATGATTTTCCTTCAGCTTTCCTTTGCTTTACAGACCTGTGAAGGTTGTAAATGCGAGGATTGGTTGCAAAGTTACTTCTTCATCACTGTTTTAACTGTGAACAGTTGCAAAATGAGGATTATCTATAGGTGTTTTATGGCTGGCCACTCTCTGTGACAGCTATTTTAAGAATAGACTTTTTTGTCCCCACCCTGCCCGCCATTTTGAACATCCTCTTAAAAAGTCAGATATATCCACTGGACAAAGTAGACTTGAATAAATATTGCCTTTTACCTATTTGTTTGCTTTCTGCTGTTGTGACCATGCTGGTATTCCTTCTGGCCAACTCCAGCACTTGGCAATAGGATCTCCTTCCCCTGTTTAAAAGATAAAGAATTTGAGCCTTTTCCCCACTATTCTTTTGATATGATTTTGCCTCTTTTTTTTTTTTTTTTTTGCAAATGCTATATTAGAATATCACCATGCTTTTCACTGGAGATGGCATGGCTTAAGTAGACAACCAAAAAGATCTCCAGTGCTTTTCACCTACAGCTTCCACAATCCGTTGCTACTCATACTTTCTGGAACCTTGGGGAGATATCCCAGATTGGGGCATCTCTGGGTTTCTTATCCCTAGTGCAGAATCTGAGCTGGTTTAAAGCAAATCTCCGGTTACGTTAGGGAACTCCCAAGGCCAGCTCAGCTTTGACTGCAAGACCTCAAGTTCCTGCTCTTGGATCCTGTTCCCAGAATTTAGCAAGAATGCCCTCCCTTGGAGAATTGTGACTGCTGGAGAAGCATGGTTAAGTTGATGACCCTACTGACGAGAAAGCAAGAGCTGTAAAGTTATCCATCCATCAAAGCTTGTGTTCCCGCATCACCCTGGCCTGAAACACAGGTGGGTCGCTTGTGGCTCAGTGTGTGTGGTGAGACCCCAAAACTACATGGTTCTGTATTAGTTCAGCCAACCCTCCCCAATTACATTTACAAACATATTCAGTCGAGCCTCATTATTCGCAGATTCTGTATTTGCAAATTCACCTACTTGCTAAAATTTATTTGTAACCCCAAAACCGGTACTCGTGGTGTTTCTGAAGTCATTCCCAGACATTGTGCAAAGCAGTGAAGAAAGTGGAGTCGCTCGATGTGCATGTTCTCTGCTGAGGTTTAGTATTCGCTAATTCAATGTTCGTGGTGACTTTACAGAACACAACTGCTATAAATAACGAGAACGGACTCTATCTCCTTATATATATGTCCATACCTACAGTAAGTAAATGTAATTGGGGAGGATTGGCTGAAGTGGCTTGGGGTGTCGCACTAGCCCTGCAAACTAAGGTCTGTTCCTTGTTCAGTCACAAATCCCCGTGCCAAGGAAACCCAGTACAGGCGTTAATTCACTAAAGGAATCCATGCCCCCTTTTTCTTTGTTCTCACCTGGGTTTGTTACCCTTTCCATCTGTGCGCTCTCTCGTGTTGTGTTTTCATGTTTTTCTAAACCACCAGGAGTCAGGTGGCATATAAATTTAAAAAATTAACCCCCTTTCTCCGAAGTATCTCTGCCATCTCGGTTCTCTTCTGCGTTGTTTTCGTGTTTTTCTAACCATTGGTGAGCATACTCAGAGTTGCCAGGAGTCGGGGGGCATATAAAATAAGCCCACCCACCCTCCTATCCCCTTCCTCTGAAGCTTCAGTGCCTCTGCCACCTTGCTGATCTTTTGGGGTGGGGTTTCCTAGTTTCCATATTTTCTAACCATTTGAACACCGCCCAGAGTCACCGGGAGGCGTGTAAATTTAATAAATAAATAAATATCCTGACCCCCTTTCCCCGGAGGTCGGGTATCTCTTGGTCCTTTTTGGGGGGCCTTGCCTTGTTTTTCTAACACTTTCTAAAACCGCCCAGAGCGGCCAGCAGGCCCATGAAGGTCACAGGCCGACGAGCCCCTCAGGTTCAGACGGCCTCAGCCCAGGACGGAGTCGCGAGGGGTCAACGGAGCCCCTGCTGCCCCCAAATATA